GTGAAAAAAAGACCAAAAGGTGAAACAAACAAATATCTCTCCTTTATCATATTATTGCTACAAAAGAAAGAAAAATAAGCTGAGAGATTTGCCATGATTTCAAATCAGAACCAACAATTTTTGCTGGTTTAAAAAGCGGATTAAATATGGAGCAAGTATGGCATGCCCTTTATGCCAAAAAAAAAAAAGGTTTTCAACAAATAAAAAACAAGTGAATAAAATAAATGTCACTAGCYGACATTCATCAGGTGGATCATGACCTAAAATATGATACAAGTGGCTGAAACGAGCTTCCTTCATAGGGTGGGCCGAGCTCAGCTTAAGCCAGAGGTGTCAAATCCAGGTCCTCCAGGGTTGCTATCCCATCTGATTTGCATGAAAGAAATCATAAACAGGCTTCAACATAATTTGCAGAGGTAACTGAATCAGGTGTTTTTGAATACGGAAACAAGAAAATATGCTGGAAAGCAACCCTTGAGGACTGCAGTTTGACACCTGCGGTCTGCTCCGCCATCGGGGGGAGCTTGGAGTAGAGCCGCTGCTCCTTCACATCGAAAGGAGTCATTTGAGGTGGTTCTGGCATCTGATTAGGCTGAATTTTTTTAGATCTGTTCTGGGCGCAGCTGATAGGAGGCCCTGGGGAAGACTCGGGACTGGAGGGATTATGGACCTCGGGGTCCCAAAGACGAATTGGAAAGTGTCACTGCAGGGAGAAGGATTTCTGGATTTTTCTCCTGGAACAGATTATGGATAAACGGCAGAAGACAAAGATGGAGAAAATAAATTATAAATCCCTTGAAGCGATCCAAATCYTGAAGAGCTGTTTCATTCAAAGAGCTGTTAAATAGAGCAGCAGGTGGTTTACATACACCACTTGCATGTAGTGACGTTTGTTTCAGGCTACTTATACATTTTATGTCTTAGATAATGCTTACTGAATAAAATCCTATGATAACACATAGGGTTTTTCTTTACTGCAGTGTTATATAAATACCTTGAAGCACAACTTCTGCTTTTTAAAGCCACATTTAGTTTTAAACATTTTTTATTTTAAGCCATTTACTCAGATAATTGGAGCTGAATGCACTGCAGACATGAAGCTGGCCTACAAAGCTGCCATAAAGTGTCTGATTACTTTTCATAAATACGTCAAGTTTCTCCCAGTATGTCGACATCAACTTGTTTGACTAATGAGGGAAACTATGGATTAGGGGAAAATGTCTGCTCCCTGCTACCACATGAGTTGCACAATATATGATTGGCACTCGGTCCTCAAGAGGAGGAGCTAACTGCATGTCTCTTTCTGCAGGGTTGACGGCTGGTCTCTCTCCTGCTCCAGTAACTGGAGGCACAAGGTCCTTCTTCATCAGCTTCAACTTCATTTCTCAGGTAAAGTTCTCAATGCTTCATTAATGTTCACAAATGCAGTTTGGATCCTTTAGATTGTCAGTTTGTTTGTTTTTTCAAGAGCCATGTTCATATTTTATTGGTCTTCTTATGAGCACGTGTAAAGTTGTAGCTAAAGTGAGTTTCTTTGCATACATAAAGGTTTAAGTCTGCTTAGTTTATAAAAAATATATGTATGAAAAAATTGTGTTGTACTYGGCAACGACTGCATTTGTATTCACACTGGAACACAGAAGGAAAAAATGATGTATAGTTTTTCAGTTTGAACTCAGAGTGTAAGAGGACATGAGGCCTGTTGCTCACGTCCCAAAGCCTATAAAAGGAACGTCATGGGAGAGCCACCCCAGCAGTGCTATTCCTGTACATGCTGCTGATAAACTGTGACAGATGCAAGAGGAGCGTGTTGATGCACTCACGCCTTTCAGAATCACCTGGCCGTGCACGTTTTTAAAATAGTCAGGGACTCTTGTCAAGAAAGTATAAAAATCAGGGATGGATTTTGCAACTCTTACAGAAACAAATTAGGTATTTGACACTGTTATTTTGACTGCGGTAAAAGAAAAAAAACAGGAAAAGTGTCAAGTTTCAGGACAGAGCAGCTGATTTTCTGTAATACTAGTCAGCTGAATCAAAGACAACTGGACTTTTTTTCATTCTGCTTCTCTTTCTAATTATCTTTTTTATAATTGTGTAGTGAAATGTCATAAGGAACCTAAAAAAATTAGGCTCCCTCATTTTAACTTACCTAAGGACGATAGAAATAGATCCTTGGAGTTATTTAGGTGATGTCTACATGTTTCTTTGTATTGGGCTTATTTCCATTACATAAGATCAGAGATGACCAGAGAGTTTGGATGCTAAACTAGATACCGCATAGCAGTAACATAATGACCCCTGCACACAGAAATGCACTAGAACTTAGAAGTCTTGATTCCTAATAAACGCCATGCTACTAGGTGCATCCCAAAACTGTAGTGGCTTGGGTGGGGGGCTTTTTTGGGTGTGTGTGGGGGGCATTGGACCTGATGAACAGAGCTTCATCAGAGCTAAACAACAAAAGAAATCTGAAGCTCCTATGTTTAATAGTTTTTGAGCAATAACCATTTTTGTATGTCCAAATACCCCTTTTTCAGATAAATTGGGGGTCTGGTGGGATGGGGGTACTTATTGGTAGATCTGATGGATAGAGCTTCATCAGAGCTAAACAACAAAAGAAATCTGAAGCTCCTATGTTTAATAGTTTTTGAGCAATAACCATTTTTGTATGTCCAGATACCCCTTTTTCAGATAAATTGGAGGTCCGGAGGGTGGGTGGGTGGTGGGGGGGCACTGATTGGTGGGCCTGATGGATAGAGCTTTATCAGAGCTAAACATCGAAAGAAATCTGAAGCTCCTATGTCGAACAGTTTCTGAGTTATAAGCATTTTTGCATGTCCAGACACCCCCTCTTTGGATGGAGCCCCCTCCTTAAATATGGGGTCTATCATAAAACCGTTGACTGGTGCAGTGTAGATCAGGCTCATCAGTCCTGTCAAATTTCATGTTGATTGGTGCAGCCATTTTTGTGCTACGGTTGACCAAAAATCACTGAAAAAGAAAAAWAGCTGAACGAAAACAATATGTCCACTGCTTACATGCGGGGGTCATAATAAACACCTTCAGACACATAGGTGTTCTTTGAGTCAGTCCTAGTTTTGGAGAATCCCTCTGCTTTCTTTGAGCCTACTACCAAGTTGCAAAGAGGGGGTGGGGGCTGGAGTGAGGATGTGGGAGGTTCAGAAATGTTTTTTTTTCTGAGGTTCAGAGATGTTGAGACAGGTGGATTAACTTCCACATCACTGTCAGTATGCAGGTTTTCCCAGCATTGAAATAATACTTCATGAGCACTGTTATCATCATTGGTCATAACTTTTTTGGCTGATTTGTGAACAATGAAGAAAGCTGCAGTCATCAGTCATTATCTTCTGTATTTTTCTGGCATGATACAAGTTAGACTTTTCTGTGTTGTTATTTTTGAGCTGTAAAGATGTTTTCTTTGTCAGACTCTGATATATACATGTATATTTTCAGAAGGTCTGGGCTGAGTACCACTGCTACAGCCATGGCACCAAAAAAGAACAAGACAACCAAAAAGAGCAAAGGAGACATCAATGATATCATGGTTGAAAACAGTCCTATTAGCAAGTTTAATGGATTAAACACTCTGATAGAAGGAGGAAACGGCTTCAGCTGTATCTCGACAGAAGTCACTGATTCTGTGTACGCCCCAAACCTCCTGGAGGGCTTGAACAACATGAGGCAGGATAGTTTTCTCTGTGACCTAACAGTCACCACCAAATCAACGTCGTACGATGTCCACAAAGTCATCATGGCTTCTTGCAGTGAGTACATTAGAAACATCTTGAAAAAAGACCCAGCTCTTCAAAAGATTGACCTGAACGACCTCTCGCCAGTCGGCCTTGCTACTGCAATCACATATGCCTACTCGGGCAAGCTCACCTTATCACTCTACAGCATCGGCAGCACCATCGCTGCAGCCATGTTGCTCCAGATTGGCACGCTAGTAAAAATGTGCAGTGATTTCCTCATGCAGGAGCTCAGTGTGGAGAACTGCATGTACGTGGCTAACATCGCTGTTGCCTATGACCTTAAAGAAACCAAGGAAGCGGCTCAGAAGTTCATGCGGGAGAACTTTATTGAGTTTTCAGAAATGGAGCAGTTCCTGAAGCTCACATATGAGCAGATCAACGAGTTCCTCTCAGATGATTCCTTGCAGCTGCCCTCTGAAGTTACAGCTTTCCAGATTGCCATGAAGTGGTTAGACTTTGATGAGAAGAGGTTGAAGTATGCAGCAGATCTCTTGACTAACATCCGCTTCGGCACGATCACCCCACAAGATCTTGTAAATCACGTGCAGAACGTCCCAAGGATGATGCAAGACCCTGAGTGCCATCGTCTCCTCGTTGATGCCATGAATTACCACCTGCTGCCATTTCAACAGAACATCCTGCAGTCGCGCAGAACAAAAGTACGAGGTGGCCTCAAGGTGATTCTCACAATTGGTGGACGTCCCGCCTTGACAGAAAAGTCCCTCAGCAAAGATGTTCTCTACAGAGACTTGGATCAAGTTTGGAATAAGTTGACAGAAATGCCAGCAAAGAGCTTCAATCAGTGTGTGGCAGTACTGGATGGCTTCCTGTATGTGGCAGGTGGTGAGGACCAGAACGATGCAAGGAACCAGGCAAAGCATGCGGTTAGCAACTTCTGCAGGTACCAGATCATTTCAGATCTTTTAATGTTTTTTACTGTTGTCATATTTGTTGGTGTAAAACAAGAAAATAACTTTACTGCAACTCAATTTTAGGTATGACCCCCGCTTCAACAATTGGATTCATTTGAGCAACATGATGCAAAGGCGCACCCACTTCAGCCTCAACACTTTCAACGGTCTCTTGTTCGCCATTGGAGGCAGAAATACAGAAGGAGTTCAGGCCTCTATGGAGTGCTATGTGCCCTCATCCAACCAGTGGCAGATGAAAGCTCCCATGGAGGTGGCACGCTGTTGCCACGCCAGCTCTGTCATCGATGGCAAGATTCTCGTATCAGGAGGTTACATCAACAATGCGTACTCCAGAGCTGTGTGCGCTTATGACCCTGCCACTGACACCTGGCAGGATAAGAGCAGTCTGAGCACCCCTCGGGGCTGGCACTGTGCTGCCACCATTGGAGATCGAGCCTATGTCATTGGTGGCAGCCAGCTTGGAGGGCGGGGAGAGAGGGTGGACGTCCTTGTCGTTGAATCCTACAAYCCACACAATGGCCAATGGAGCTACTGCGCACCTCTTCACACGGGAGTCAGCACAGCTGGCATTTCCATTTTGAACAACAAGCTCTATCTCCTCGGAGGCTGGAACGAAGGCGAGAAGAAGTACAAGAAATGCATCCAGKTTTACAACCCTGACCTCAATGAATGGACTGAGGATGACGAGCTGCCAGAAGCTACGGTTGGCATTTCATGCTGCGTTGTCACTATACCTACAAGGAAAACACGAGAGTCCAGAGCCAGTTCAGTTTCATCTGCACCTGTCAGTATATAAGGATTCAGATTACAGAAAATATCTAGTTCACAAATTTAAAGGATGGGGCGGGGG